CACCCGGTGAAATTCACAACACCTTAAAAGAACCCACGTGTCTTTATTTATTAACATGTGACATAAATGGACTCTCCAGCAAACATCAGATCGTGACTTTCTCAATTATTTACAAACATGTGACATGCATGTCTTGTTGAAACGTTTTTGTCCAACGAATTACCAAATAGTAGTTTACCTGGATGTGTAAGGTTTTTTTAATATGCCATCAAAATATCTAAATACGGTTGATGTTTTGGTGGTGTTTGTGTCTGTATTGAGCAGGTTATCGGTGATTTTTGCACAGTTAAACAAACAAACGCAGATAACGTTGTTTGTCTCGTGTTGTAAAAAGAATATTCTAAAAATTTGGTCTGGTTTGTGTTTATAGTCCTCCAAATGGATCTGATTATTATGTCAATAAGCCATTTAAATGTGCTATAGATCAGATGGAGATATATTATCTGACTTATTATCCGATGTATAAGATTGTCATATTGTCATTTGTGGAAACATGGACTTTCGTGGTGGTAATAAGAATTACTATAGAGACTTGACGCTCTTAACTTTTGTCACACATATATCTGTTGAATGTTGGCGAAAAATTAAATTCTGATCATGTTTCTCAGGGAACTCAGTTGCAAATATGGCGATGACGCAAAAGGCCAGCAACCGGGAATTAGTAATGTACATTATGAATGGAATGTACATTTGGAATTGTAACTTCAGTTCTTTGAAAGGCATTTAGAAGTGATACGCATAAGGAAGTTAATGTATGGATGTCAACTTCTTTATTATGAGGAACACAACGTTTCTGAGTATATGCTTACTCTTTCACCATACTTACTCCATTCACCCGATGAAGGAGTAAGCATATACTCCGAAACGTTATGTTCCCCATAATGAAGAAGTTGACATCAATAAATTCTCTTCCTCATGATAACTTTAGTGTTCATTTTCTAGATAGTTTACGATCTACTGTTATTAGATCGTCTGTTGTTAGATCTTGATGTAAATGAAGATAAAGCTCTGAATGATTTTGTAAAACGTATTTTTGAATCTGCTGATTGTATGCAAAAATGTGTCAAATATCCATAATACACCAAATAGAATAATATTAAATTGTGAGTGTAGATCTGCTAAACGTGACTGCAGGAGAGCACTTGGACAGTTAGACGCAAGAAATAATTGTCTGAAATAATGGTTAACATATGACGACATCGTTCTATACCGAACAAATCAAACTTGTATAGAGGGTAAATTTCATATATTGCTTGTTTGTACTGTACTGATTTAAGGGAAGCATATACCCCAAAGAAATATCTTCGTTTAACAAATTTGTATTCATGTAAATCTCTGTTGAACTCTTATGATGGAAAAGCAATTGTACACTTTGTCGGCGCAAGAATTTTATAGTACCGTGTTCAACCCACTTTGCAACATTATCCGCACAGACGAATTGTATGCAGCGCATTTCTTTGGCTGTGTTGTACTCACTGATATTATTTCTTAGTACTCTTGTTTTGTTTATGGACCGGAAACCTTTAGTTCAATAAAACATCTTGATCTTGATTATTGGCAACAACGTACCAGCATGCACATTTCCTCTAAATCTACAGGTTAATGTTGAACCACATAATTTAACTTGTTACAAGCACGGGGATTGTCAAAAACAGCAGTGGAAGCCATTGACAGTAGTGACGAGGGATGAAAGTCAAGTTCAGACATATCTCAGTTTCAGGTGGAGAGGCATTTTTTTAAAACATTGTTTTATTTACTGGGGGTATTTGGCAACTAGATAATTAGATTTACACATTCAAAAAAAATAACACATGATGATCATAACTGCATGGGTAGGGTCAGTACGCTGCTTTCAGCGACCTTACACTGAAACCACTGGGCTACGTAGCAACAACCACTGTGGAAACAAAACAATCACACAGAACGATAATAATCACCTGTAAACATCCATGAATGAAAGAAAACAATCACTGTGTAACGATTGTTGAGTATTGGGCAATTGTCCTATGAATCATATCTGTTTTGACTGACACGTACAGCGTGTCGCAACATCACAATCGTTATCACATGTTTATCTACTCTACATGTAATAACATCTACATTGTGTTATCACTGCTGTTAACGGGGACACAAGATTTTAGGACTTTGTCAAGTCTAGATTACAGTGTGTGCGTGATATAGAATTACATATACAATTATACACGTTTCTGTCAAACTGTTAAGAAAAAAATAAAGATCTGTCTCATACAGACAGTCATGAATTCACAGTTCCGACAGAACCCTTTTCAAAGCCACAAGAAATTTCTGCTTTTTTCGATTGCACGGTACCGCCTTGGATCATGAGCATGTGTTTATGAATCATAATCATATAGTGATGATACCAGGGGTTCGCGAAAAGGTTAGCTATCCTACCTCACCGGTGGCACTCGTCACAAACACATGCAACGGCAAGTCTATTGTTCACCCTCAAAAACACGGGAACATGACAAGTCAAAATTGGGAACGCATGTGTCAAATCTGGAAAAGTCCTCAATATGTTCACCCTGACACTTGTTGAAAATGCGTCAAATTTGGAAATATCATCCACATGTCACCTACATCAAAGAACTTTTGAAGTCGTTTAAATCTTTGCAGAAAGATCGATTGTACCTCAAAAGTTGTGAAGTGTGGACAAAAAAGTCGTCAAGTTCCGGAAGTCACGCCTACTTTGGATGCTGTTGCTAGATTCACCAAGCATTGCGATGCTGAGCGGTCAAAGATGACTGAATGTCACCCTGGGAGACTGTCTCGATGGTTATATCCCATTAGTTAGACGTCCCAATTGTTAGACATGTTTATTTAGGCAAAGAGGGGATATACCTACAGGTGTAATGGATCAGTCCTAATTAGATTAAAGTACTGAGTAGGGATAGGGGACTCACAGTTTAGGGAGTATATATGTTACAATTTCGTTTAATTAACCTAAATTACCTTACTCTCAGCACAGGTTCAATAAGCATGAGATTAACTATGTAAACTATGGATAAGCTTAATTGTCATACCGTATGATCAGTTGAAGGAGTTGAGTTTAGATTATCTACTCATCAAACAAATAAAAATGATCTTGGGGTACGTATCATTATCATTATCGATATGGCTGGTTTAAGGAAAGTAGTCACCTCTCGGCATGGAAGTGAGCAGTTGATATTAGATGGATATATTTACAACAGAAACCGCGAGAGGCAAACCTGCACACATTGGAGATGTGTCGTCAAGACGTGCAATGGGAAATGTACGACTGTCGGTGACTTTCTTTGCAATCAGTCGGAACATAACCATCCGCCTGAAGATGAAACCAGAGTGAACTTTGTCAGCAATCTTCGTAAAAGAGCGTCTCGATTCAATCCCCAAGGGCACATGAGAGGAGGCAGCAATTCCTTGTCCAGGATTATTTACACAACAAACTGAGTTAAAGACGTTTATACAACCGAGACTTAATACAGTCTATGTTAACACATCACATGTCTATCAGGATACATTGTTGGATAGGTGCAGCACTAATCTTTAGAAGGAGGACTAGTTCCGCCTACGACATGCCGCCTGCTATGTACCTCAACTCTATACCACCTATATATAGATAGAGAGAGAGAGGTAAAATCATACACCGTCAATACACAAGGAAGAGAACACCGGTCTTCCTGGACTAGGACATTATATCCGTTCGAAATCAGATTGAGAATAATCTCAAGTTAAAGGTGAGAGATATTCGTGCCCCAATACATGTTGATTATAACTATTATGTAATTTGTCAGATGACAAGGCCAACACACAAGAAAACTGGAACCATCGATAGGCAAAGGGAGTGAGTACGGTTGTATTTGTTTCTTTGTTGTTTAACGCAATATTCCAGCTATATGACGGCGGCCTGCAAATGTCGAGACCAGAACAGACAATCCAGTGATTGACATCATGAGCATCGATCCACGCAAATGGAATACGATAACATGCATCAACCAAGTCAACGAGCCTGACCACCCGATCCCATTAGTCCCCTCTTACGACAAGCATAATCGCATTTTACGGCAAGCATGGGTTGCTGAAGACCTATTCTATCCCGGATCTTCACGGATCGAGTTCGGTTGTAACGCCGCGTCGGACAGCCTCTGTTATCCTCATTATCGAGAGAGGAATGACCAATACTGACCGAAGACAAATAACAGCTTCAGAGAAAACTATAGATACAGTTTGTGCAATTGTCTCTGCTTGTGGTGAGACGTGCCAGTGTTTGTGGCGGGACATGTTTGCAGCCCGGCGCTATGTTATAAATGTAAATATGGTGTATTTATAACATAAGATATAGAAGTGCAGTATCTACCGCCTGCTTTATTTCTGAATGTGAGAAGAGATAGAAAAGGTTCAACTTCGCCTCAGCAATATCCCAAAGTTATAGTAGCATGCTGTAAACACAGTGCTTATAGAATTATAAAACTCACATCTCTTAAAAGTAACAAAATTAATTTTCAAACATTCCATTTTATGGGTTGATTTGCAAACTGTGTTGTAGAATAAGGGCACAAAGTGTTAAAGAATGTAACCCGTCTCAGATAAAAGTTGTCTCAAGTTTATTGTATATTGATTTCACATTGATTCAAACGTGTGTCACTGACCCACAAGATGAAACACTGACTACAAACATTATCATCACTTGACCCCAACAAAGTAAATAGGTGGATGGTCACATGTGAGGATTACCTGCCCCTCTTGAGTTTATTTTCCCAGGCGTGGCCTTGATGATGAGTTCGAATCCTGTCCAAATGAAGGTTAGCGTCAAACCCGTGCTTATGTGTTTAACTTCGTACTTTGAAACGCTGTAAAAGCTGAAATATTGCTGAAAGCGGGGATGAACCCAATTTACTCTCTTTCGCATGACGTGAGAAGACCGAGTCTACCAGACTAGGCAAACACTGGAATAGGCCCAACATTGCATACAGTTCACTGACTGACACCCTTCTGTTTCCAGGATGACTCAGGGTGCCGGCGGTGTCTCCAGTGGCGGCGGGGTCGGGGGGTTCAGTGGAGGGGGGTTCAACAGGCACCACCACCACATCACCCACCACACTTCAGAAGTAGGAGAGGGAGGAGGAGAGTGTGGGAAACGTTGCTGCTTCTTCGTCGTTCTCGGCATCAACATCATCAGCTTCACTCTGTGCATCAGGAAGATGTCCCGCTACCTCCGGATCGCCCTCCTCTGGCTGTATGTAGCCACTGCCGTCCTCACCGCCGGACTTCTCATCAGTCTGAGAATCCTCGGCACCAACAAGTTCAAGGCAGCGCCGACGGACATGCGCAAAGTAGAAACTGGGGTCAACAATGCCTTCTGTGAGAGCTACACTCTTAAATCCAGCGATCCTTTCGAAGCCTTCATCTTTGACAAGGAACCCGTCGTCGATCCACGCAGAATTGAGGAATTTAGTACAAGCTATGTCATGAGCCTACAGAGCAACAATTACAATTACTGGGGGTTCTATCTCCTCCCTGGGTCCACACTACAGGTCAACAGCACCAACGATGTTGCAGCATCGGCGACCCCCATCGTCATCCAAGGAGACAGCAACCTTCAAACATGGCTGGACAGTAAGGGAGACTGTAGTGACTGTTATATCTATAAACAATACATGCTACGACATCACTCATATACAATGAACTGCAAGGAAACAGACAACTATTTCTTTGTTTACATTAACGGTGGAATATTTGATGTCTCATCGACGGCAAACGTTTTTATCAGGCGGACTTTGTACGATGTGACGAAAGCGACATCCGCTTGTGCGTTTTTGCCAGGTCAACGGTCGTGCCGCTTTGATATGTCCATTAACCTAGAACAGAGCCTTGTGTTTCATAGCGGTCGGAGAGCCTTGAACCAGAGCATTGACATGTCGGGCAGCTGTGGGGCAAGGGCGTGGATGTATGTGATCGTGTTTGCCCTCATTCCGATCCTGGTGGCTGGAAGTGTCTCCTTCCTCATCTGGATGTTCTGCAAGGATGACAAGACGGAAGAGAAACAAGCCTTGGTGCCTGATCCAGGATCCAAGGAACAGAACAGTAAACTGTTAACAAAAAACGTGCTGGTCGCTTATGACACGTGTACAACTGTTCAATAAGATAAATAATACATTATACAATATAGCTGTTTGTGCTATGACGGTTATTGACCTCGGCGTTGCACCAGACTGGTCAGATGGATGCGACCCGCGAAGATTCGGGGTAGAATAGGTCTAGTAAAAGGCATTTCCCCGTGTGCATTGCCCGCGACCTGCACTACAATATGTTATGCTTGTTGTAAGAGGCGACTAATGGGATCGGGTGGTCAGGCTCGTTGACTTGTTGATACATGTCATTGATGCCAATTGCGTGGATCGATGCTCATGATATGAATAACTGGATTGTCTGGTCCAGGCTCGATTATGTACAGACGGCCGTCATATAGCGGGAATATTGCTGAGTGCGGCGTTAAACAACAAACCAACCAACCAGATGGATAGATGTGCGAAGGACCTGTGACGAACCGGGTTAGTGTAGGTCTTCAGCAACCAACAGAGGCGATTGTGCTTGCCGTAGCTTGTCGTAAGAGGCGACTAACGGGATCGGGTGGTCAGGCTTACTGACTTGGTTGATGCATGTCATCGTATCCAAATTGCGGGGATCGATGCTCATGATATCAATCATTGGACTGTTTTGTCCAAACGCGAGTATTTACATACTGCCGGCATAAAGCTGGAATATTACTGAGTGCGGCGTTAAACAAAAATCAACAACCAACAAATAATAATGTATGAAGAATGCCCAGCCGTGATCAAACTATGCTCACTCTTACCGTGTCACTTATCAAGTCAGTGCGGTGTAAATAGAAGCAGTCTTTTGTGTTAATAATGTACATAACACTTCACATTGTCGGGGCGGTCGGGTAGCCTCGTGGTTAAAGCGTTAGCTCGTCACGCCGAAGACCCGGCTTCGATTCCCGACATGGGTACAATGTGTGAAGCCCATTTGTGGTGTACCCCGCCGTGATATTGCTGGAATATTGCTAAAAGTGGTGTAAAACCATACTCACTCACTCACTCACTCACTCACTTCACATTGTCTTTCCCATGAGTAGGGGCGGTCGGGTAGCCTCGTGGTTAAAGCGTTCGCTCGTCACGCCGAAGACCCGGGTTCGATTCCCGACATGGGTACAATGTGTGAAGCCCATTTCTGGTGTACCCCGCCGTGATATTGCTGGAATATTGCTAAAAGTGGTGTAAAACCATACTCACTCACTCACTCTCATGAGTAAGTGAAACAACGAGACAGTTCACTGTAACTGTGTTAAGAACACACCTATTGATACGCAGTATTTGAATTTGTTTGAATTATGAACTTTTGAAAGCATCGGGGTCAGCACTCAATGTAATTAAACACAAGAACCCAGGTCTAACCCACGTGGTGAAGCAGGATACAGCAGATTGTCGGCTGTAATAAACCGAGGAAAGAAACAACATCCGTGATGTCATTCTATTGTCTCAACGCTCCATCACTTTTCAGGAATGGAGAGTGGTTTGTCAACTATACATTATCTTGAACCAACATTTGAATTAATTCCCACTTGGAACAGACGGAACTATTCGTTCGAACCCGAAGCGTTTGATTTGAGAACGTGTAATGGACAACCTCAACTTCGGCGGCACATGAACGTATCGTGTGAAGTTATCCATTAAATATTTTCAAAATTTTGCATAATGCTTAAAAGCTCAAAATAATATTATGAAATACTGTGTTAGAGCAGGCTACCGACAACAATGTTCATATTTACAGCAATTAGATAAACATTTGACGAGAAAAAACAAATCAGGTAATGTATATAACCTTGCTCGGGGCTCTATATTTCCTATTATTCCCGTCAGCATGTATTGACAATATGCAAGCGATTGATATATACTAGTTTAGGACCCAACGAAATTAGGAAGAGCCGTGTACCATGCATTGTAAATGTCAGCTCGCGACGCAGCCTGGCGCACGTGCAACAGCGGCAGAGAACGCATTCCTCGTGCATCACGCATGGGCGACTCACGCAGTATAAATACAAACAACAAAGAGTCCTGGTTTATTTTTCAAATGTTTTCCACAACAGAATATTTTGTGTAAAAGTAGGGACGAGTTTTAAGTAGGGGAATATCCTCTTCACTCTCCATTCCTTAAAATTGCATGGGGGCGGTCGGGTAGCCTAGTGATTAAAGCGTTCACTTGTCACGCCGCAGACCCGGGTTCGATTCCCGACATACAATGTGTGAAGCCCATTTCTGGTGCCCCCGACGTGATATTGCTGGAATATTGCTAAAAGCGGCGTAAACCCATACTCACTCACTAAAATTGCATGGGGGAAGCAGCAAGTGATTTTACCGCCGCTTTGAACAATATGTCTGCTGGATCACCAAGTGTTAAATGTTGTACATCTTCACTTCGGATGTAACGAACAAACAATGTGGACCCTCCCATGGATTCATTATGTGCGGAATAGATGTTTAATAAACTAATTGTTTATTTCATGTAGTCAGACTTATCTCAAACCCTACCCACCTCTACAAAATGTCGTACAGTAACTATTCTGATCCAACCAGGGGGCGGTCGGGTAGCCTAGTGGTTAAAGCGTTCGCTCGTCTCGCCGAAGACCCGGGTTCGATTCCCGACATGGGTACAATGTGTGAAGCCCATTTCTGGTGTCCCCCGCCGTGATATTGCTGGAATTTTGCTGAAAGCGGCGTTAAACCATACTCACTCACTCACTCTGATCCAACCATATCGAGATAGCACTCACCAATGTAGAGGCTGACAACCCCCTTTGTCAGACTGGATTCGGGGGTCCATTTAGGGATATTCGATACTCTAGAGTGTTAGACGCGAAACGCATAAAAAATCAAATTTGGTACACAGATTCCAAAAGCCTTTTACATATTTTATCTTTTCGATATTTTGTCAGCAATGTAACTTCAAATAGCGCCCTAAAGAGACCAAACACATGTACACACGTGCAGATTAGTCTAATGTAATTGTTTATCCTGTGCATTGCCCGTGTCCTTGACTACAATATCTTATGCTTGTCGTAAGAGGCGACTAACGGGATCGGGTGGTTGATGCATGTCATCGTATCCCAACTGCCTGGACCGATGCTCATGATGTCAATCGATCACTGGATTGTCTGGCCCAGACTCGAATATTTAAAGACCGCCGTCATATATCTGGAACATTGCGGAGTGCGTGAAACAACAAACAAACAAACACTCACTGTAATTACTGTACTGCTTGTCTAAGATTGGTTGGTTTGTTGTTTTACGCCGCACTCAGCAATATTCCAGCTATATGACGGCGGTCTGTAAATAGTCCAGGATGATAAGTTGAGTATGGAGGGCTCAATTTAATATTTGTTTTCATCTGTAACTCGATCTTCTTGCTCATGGTATGACCCTTGACCCTCACGTTTATATTATAGGGTGAGATGGAAACTGATATACCTCAAACAATCATTAACCCCGTCTGGATGTCGGGTAAGAATTGGTCACCAGCAAGCTATGCTTGTCGTTAGAAGCGCCCCAATGGATCGGGTGGTCGGCTTCAGTGACATAGTTGATTGGGTGTCATGTACCCCGACGGCCCGTGACCCACCTCGTTGTTCACTGAATAGTCTGGTCTAGACCCGACGTCGAAGCACAAATAAACAAACAAACAAAAGAAACAGACCATCAGCAAGTTTAAAAAAAATGAGTTCTTATCGTCCTGGTGATGCCAGCTTCCAATATATCTTTCTATGCATCAGGATAACTCAAAACAAATATGCTTAAAATACTATTAATTAACCTTCGTGTGATGAGATTAATTTGTGTCAACACGGTTTCAATAATACATCAATCACAGTCAAATCAATAAACCACAATTGATGTAGGGCGAGTAACGCCACAGTACTTGCTATTCCGACTGTCACGGCATCCTGTGGATACTCAAGTGTGGGCGGCACACCAGGACCCACTTGCACAAAGCGATCTTAGCGCTAAGATGATCGTAACTCCCATACTTTAACATAGGCTTACAATAGTTGTAGCGCTAAGATCGCTTTGTGCAAGTGGGCCCAGAGGTTGACAGCGATGTCAACGATCCACACTGTCGAGGTACAATGCCGATAAATGCTCACAGAGAGGAACATAAATGTAAATTTTAGAAATGTAAATTCAACGATATTTTATGTCACAGTCGAACCCTTTATTTTTATTTTTTAAACAGGTTGATTTGTTTGCCAGGTATGCAACCTGTCCAACGAAGAATCTTTATGATGTAAAACCTGAGCCGTTTACCTTAAAGAAAAGAAGAAGGAGTATTTCATCGGCACGCCTCCGACTCTTGGCCAAAACACTCTGGCTTTAGTGGGAATAATTTGACTATAATGGCACTGGTGAATCGACAAAGTTGTAATCCCAAGTTGTTTCTTCTCTCGTCGATAATAAGTGGAGTATGGAAGGCTCAATTTAATATTCGTTTTCATTTGTAACTGGGTCTTCTTGCTAATGGAATGACCCTTGACCCTGACGTTTATAGTATAGGGCGAGATGGAAATTTGTCCACAAGGGTACTTCATTAACTTGTTTCTTTCAAGACAATGCAAGACCAATCTCATTCTCAACACGCACTGAACATCTGATTCATCTAGAAGTGACTCTTTGGGTCAGATGTTTGATGGTGGACAATGACCACAAACAATATCAAAGGGTTCATAGAGCGAAAACTTGACATAGCATCAGCTTGACGTCGTAGCTGAACTATATATATGCACTTGGCATCATGTCATATATGACGTCATACGACAAATGCATTATACATTATTGCTAACCTGTGCCACCAGAGATCTTCATCATACAGATCTAAATGTTTCGAATATTATTGTCGTAAAATTGGGATGATTTAAGACATTTTATAATTAATTGCGCAAGCTTCCTGTTCAAAAGAGATTGTTTTTATTCGCAAGACCAGTTTGTGAAACAGAAATGATTTTACTATCGTTAGAAGCGTTCACGTCGTGTCTTACAAGGTAGGGCAGCAATTACTAAAGTTTTTTTACCAGCTCTCTCTTCTGTGACAACACTAGAACGTGTGACCATTGGCTTAATGTAAAGGTGTCGGTTACACCTGGAATAGTCCGACGATCCGTGCTCACTCTTCGCCCGTTGTCGCCTTTAAATGCGTATAATGTACACTGTTATGTTTACACGATATGCGGCATTTCTACTGGATAGGAGACCGGTCGCACAACCGCGTGTTGGGGACGATTTTTTATATTCCTACATTTTTCATGAGGCTGTATTATAAAATTTGTCGGGCTACTTTAAATATTCCGCTAGAAATCAGTGTATAAGTAAATGCAGAACTGCAGTTTATGTTTTATCATGAAATAAATTTTCATTCATTGGATTGATTCAAGTGTTTGACTGGGTACCTAGAGAGAGACACCTCCCAATGAACAGATCGAAGTCATGTACACTAACACGTGTATGGACTTGACTGATTGACTGTGACGGTCAAAAACATTCAAAAACGGCAATTTATTTATTCACTTCAGCACCTATACCGATCATACAAGCGGGGAAAAAAGAGCACCTTAACAAATCAAACGAAACTCAACTGCCATGGATTTGTCAGAATCATGCATAACCACACTTTGTCATGATAACCCATGATGACCCTGAAATTGCACACTGCCCATGAAGCTCCGGGTTAGAATAAGTGTTCAGCAACCCATGCTATCCGTAAAAGGCGACTATGCTTGTCGTTAGAAGCGACTAACGGGATCAGGTGGTCAGGCTCACTAATGTGGCTGATGCATGTCATCGTATCCCAATTGCGTAGATCGATGCTCATGGTGTCAATCACTGGATTGTCTGGTCCAGACTCGATTATTTACAAACCGCCGTCATATAGCTGGAATATTGCTGAGTGTGGGGGTTATACAATACAAGCTGTCTAATATAAGAGGCGCTAGAAGGTTAAATACCACATTACCATCTAATCCTACCGGGTACCCATTCACTGCAGTGTGTACTGCAGTGTACTGCATGTGCTTCAGTGTGGGGCAGGACCGAAGCCCAAGAAACTCTTAGGAGCCAAGTTGCCGGACACGGTGTTTCATCTAAGAACTCTCCGCGATCAACGTTGCTTAACTACACCTGACTTGAGACTTTTGCGCTGTACGCATGTCCACGCGTTACGTCTCTAATCATACAGCAGCTACAGCGGCTACAGCGGCTACAGCGGCTACAGCGGCTACAGCCCCAATTAGTCATTGTCATCTGCATGAATAGCAGGAAGGTCTTTCGAGTTCTTTTTCATTTTATGACAATAATCAATGTATCTCATTCAGTTGTTCGGCTGACTATGAAAGCCTCTGAGAATGCTTGGTCTCTACAATCTTCTATTTGCGGCAGAAAAACAAAGGTTTTCAGCTGACAGAACTGCGGTGTTATGAAAGACAACGAAAATCAAAACCGGATGTTTTTTATGTTAAGCGTCGATCGTTGTTAACGAGTAGCGTTCATTGGGACATCAAAAGAAATTGCTTTGATGAAGACATGTCATATAAAGGCCACCTAGCATTTCAAAGCCTCAGAGTTCGCCATACGCCAAATCCAGGGAACAGATAAAACCGGTGAGTTTCTGTTTGGTATCGCCAAGAAAAAGTTTTTCAATGTACAAATTTCATTGATCTATAAATACCCTTTTTCCAATTCAGCGTAGATTTATTCTCGTTTTTACACTAGGGTTATTAATTTTGTAACTCTAACCGATCTGCAGCTAACGGAGTTTTTATATGTATTAATGTTATTTACCTGATGAAACATTATTTTTTACTCATGTTATTTTGAAATATAACCTGACATGTGTGTAAGCCTCAGAACCTACAATAAAAGTAAAACCAAGAAAATGTTTTTTTCAAGAACATATCAGGTACAAACAAAACGTAAGAATAATTTCAAACAATGTTAAATGAACTCATACATATACCGAAACACTTTGAAAATGCATATTCGAATTTATGTAGTATTTGACAAAGTGACCACAAAAATCCAAATAAGTTTTTCTGTGTTTTTAATCATGCGATTATCAAACGTAGCAATGTCGTACGGGTTCGAATCTCACTTGGTGAGTTGCAAGATTGACTTGAGCACTAAAAGAGATATTTTCTGATCCTTGAAAACATGATTATGCGTTTTCAATGAGTGTCAAGTTACATTTTAATCTGGACTAATTGTTTTTCATTCTGTGCGGTGTGCGGAGTGGGTATCAATTCCCCATTAGCCCCGATTAGCATCCTTTATTTGTGGGGACAATCACCGTGCTCATGGGTAATCTCTCGCTCACAATCACCGTGCTCATGGGTAATCTCCCGCTCACAATCACCGTGCTCATACGTAATCTCTCGCTCACAGTCACCGTGCTCATGGATAATATCTCGCTCACAATCACCGTGCTCATGGGTAATCTCTCACTCACAATCACCCTGCTCATGGGTAATCTCTCACTCACAATCACCGTGCTCATGGGTAATCTCTCACTCACAATCACCGTGCTCATGGGTAATCTCTCACTCACAATCACCGTGCTCATGGGTAATCTCTCACTCACAATCACCGTGCTCATGGGTAATCTCTCACTCACAATCACCCTGCTCTTGGGTAATCTCTCACTCACAATCACCGTGCTCTTGGGTAATCTCTCACTCACAATCACCGTGCTCATGGGTAATCTCTCACTCACAATCACCGTGCTCATGGGTAATCTCTCACTCACAATCACCGTGCTCATGGGTAATCTCTCACTCACAATCACCGTGCTCATGGGTAATCTCTCACTCACAATCACCGTGCTCATGGGTAATCTCTCACTCACAATCACCCTGCTCATGGGTAATCTCTCACTCACAATCACCGTGCTCCTGGGTAATCTCTCACTCACAATCACCGTGCTCATGGGTAATCCCCCACTCACAATCACCGTGCTCATGGGTAATCTCTCACTCACAATCACCCTGCTCTTGGGTAATCTCTCACTCACAATCACCGTGCTCTTGGGTAATCTCTCACTCACAATCACCGTGCTCATGGGTAATCTCTCACTCACAATCACCGTGCTCATGGGTAATCTCTCGCTCACAATCACCGTGCTCATGGATAATATCTCGCTCACAATCACCGTGCTCATGGGTAATCTCTCACTCACAATCACCGTGCTCATGGGTAATCTCTCACTCACAATCACCGTGCTCATGGATAATATCTCGCTCACAATCACCGTGCTCATGGGTAATCTCTCACTCACAATCACCGTGCTCTTGGGTAATCGCTCATTCACAATCACCGTGCTCATGGGTAATCTCTCGCTCACAATCACCGTGCTCATGGATAATATCTCACTCACAATCACCATGCTCATGGGTAATCTCTCACGCACAATCACCGTGCTCCTGGGTAATCTCTCACTCACAATCACCGTGCTCATGGGTAATCTCGCACTCACAATCGCCGTGCTCATGGGTAATCTCTCACTCACAATCACCGTGCTCTTGGGTAATCTCTCACTTACAATCACCGTGCTCCTAGGTAATCTCTCACTCACAATCACCGTGCTCATGGGTAATCTCTCACTCACAATCACCGTGCTCATGGGTAATCTCTCGCTCACAATCACCGTGCTCTTGGGTAATCTCTCACTTACAATCACCGTGCTCTTGGGTAATCTCTCACTCACAATCACCCTGCTCCTGGGTAATCTCTCACTCACAATCACCGTGCTCCTGGGTAATCTCTCACTCACAATCACCCTGCTCCTGGGTAATCTCTCACTCACAATCACCGTGCTCATGGGTAATCTCGCACTCACAATCGCCGTGCTCATGGGTAATCTCTCACTCACAATCACCGTGCTCTTGGGTAATCTCTCACTTACAATCACCGTGCTCTTGGGTAATCTCTCACTCACAATCACCGTGCTCTTGGGTAATCGCTCATTCACAATCACCGTGCTCATGGATAATCTCGCACTCACAATCACCGTGCTCATGGGTAATCGCTCATTCACAATCACCGTGCTCATGGGTAATCTCTCACTCACAATCACCGTGCTCTTGGGTAATCTCTCACTCACAATCACCGTGCTCATGGGTAATCTCTCACTCACAATCACCGTGCGCATGGGTAATCTCTCACTCAGTGAGCTTGGATAGGATTACATGTCTTCAAACTGAACCACTTTAAACTTTCCTTCCGCGTTAAACCAAAGGTTTTCTGGTCAAAACAATGAAATGATTTGTCCAATGTTTTCAAAGAACGCAAATACATACAGAGAGGGTGTTTGCTCAAAAGGGCATACAATTCATGACTTGGATCATTACTTCCGATTCCCCTGATCAGCAGACACGCCGTGCTGTTTCTTAAATAATGTTCAAAACAGCGCTAACCCAAATCACTCACTCAGTCATGTATTTGCCTTTCTTCTCTAACAGTTTGTAACATTGATTACTGTTACATTTCCTCAGATGCTTGGTTCTGACCAACTGAGATTTACGATGAAGCTTCTCAAGACCTTCCTCCTGTTTCTAGTTGTCTCCCCTTTGACAATTTGTGGTGAAAGGAGACGTGTTCCGTTTATGAGTTGCCCGTCCACCAAAACAAACAGTCAGTTTGTGACGTTAAGACCGGCACGAAGCGTGATCGAGTGCTCTGTGATTTGCCTCAGCGACCCGGACTGTTTGTCAGCATCTTATTGCAATAATACTGATGGCTACACGTGTCAGTTGAGCGGGTTTTATGCAGATGGAGACTGTTCCGGCCTTGTTGCTGATGGTGATTGTAGCCAGACTGCAATGGTGAGTACTTTTGTGTGTTCTCTAGTCTATCACTTGATTGTCTGGATTGTTTACAGGACCCGTCGTATGGCAGTATTGCGTCAGGCAATAAATACAAAGTTAACTTTGTTGTGCAAGTTGTGTGAATAGTGGGTACTACCGGTAGAGAAGGGCATGCTTACATATCCTGGTTGATTTTCCTTGGTCCACTTATGTAATGTTCACAGATAGGCGGATAATCAAGGCTGATTATTCTCTTGCACTGACGTTATGTATTTCCTGGGGATTTTTTGGGGGGGTCGCTTTAGGACCCTTAAATCAGCCATCCAGTTTCCATTATCCTTTATATCTAATAAAGCTGATGGCACTTCTTGGGAATATATATGATGGCAATCTATCCTATATAAAAATATAGATACATGTTACTTTTAACCTGTTTATTACACTACTGGCATAGGGGATATATATGATGACAATCTATCCTACATGCCAATTTTAACCTGATTATGACAGTACTCGGGAATATATATGATGACAAGATAGCCTACATGTCATTTTTAAACTGATTATTACACTAATGGGGAATATATATTTGATGACAATCTATCCTACATATGACGTTTAACCTAACTTTTACACTAAAGGGAGATATATATATATCATGGCAATATATCCTACATGTCACTTTCAACCTGATTATTGCACTACTGGGTAATATATATGATGGCAATATATCCTACATGTCATTTTTAACCTGATTATTACACTAATGGGAGATATATATGATGGCAATATATCCCACATGTCACTTGTAACCTGATTATTACACTAATGGGAGATATATATGATGGCAATATATCCTACATGTCACTTTCAACCCGATTATTACATTAATGGGAGATATATATGAAGGCAATCTATCCTACATGTCACTTTTCACCTGATTATTGCATTACTGGGGAATATATACGATGGCAATATATCCTACATGTCATTTGTAACCTGATTATTACACTAATGGGAGATATATATGATGGCAATATATCCTACATGTCACTTTCAACCCGATTATTACACTAATGGGAGATATATATGATGGCAATATATCCTACATGTCAAGTTTAACCTGATTATTAGTTTATTGCACTACTGGCGAATATATATGATGGCAATCTATCCTACATGTCATTTTTAACCTGGCAATATATCCTACATGTCAAGTTTAACCTGATTATTAGTTTATTGCACTACTGGCGAATATATATGATGGCAATCTATCCTACATGTCATTTTTAGCCTGATTATTACACTAATGGGAGATATATATGATGGCAATATATCCTACATGTCACTTTTAACCTGATTATTGCACTAATGGGAGATATATATGGTGGCAATATATCCTACATGTCACTTTTAACCTGATTATTACACTACTGGGGAATATATTTGATGGCAATATATCCTACTTGTCACTTTTAACCTGATTATAACACTAATGGGAGATATATATGATGGCAATATATCCTACATGTCAAGTTTAACCTGATTATTAGTTTATTGCACTACTGGCGAATATATATGATGGCAATCTATCCTACATGTCATTTTTAGCCTGATTATTACACTAATGGGAGATATATATGATGGCAATATATCCTACATGTCACTTGTAACCTGATTATTGCACTAATGGGAGATATATATGGTGGCAATATATCCTACATGTCACTTGTAACCTGATTATTACACTAATGGGAGATATATATGGTGGCAATATATCCTACATGTCACTTGTAACCTGATTATTACACTAATGGGAGATATATATGGTGGCAATATATCCTACATGTCACTTGTAACCTGATTATTACACTAATGGGAGATATATATGGTGGCAATATATCCTACATGTCACTTTTAACCTGATTATTACACTAATGGGAGATATATATGGTGGCAATATATCCTACATGTCACTTGTAACCTGATTATTACACTAATGGGAGATATATATGGTGGCAATATATCCTACATGTCACTTTTAACCTGATTATTACACTAATGGGAGATATATATGATGGCAATATATCCCACATGTCACTTGTAACCTGATTATTACACTAATGGGAGATATATATGGTGGCAATATATCCTACATGTCACTTTTAACCTGATTATTGCACTAATGGGAGATATATATGGTGGCAATATATCCTACATGTCACTTGTAACCTGATTATTACACTAATGGGAGATATATATGATGGCAATATGTCCCACATGTCACTTGTAACCTGATTATTACACTAATGGGAGATATATATGGTGGCAATATATCCTACATGTCACTTGTAACCTGATTATTACACTAATGGGAGATATATATGGTGGCAATATATCCTACATGTCACTTGTAACCTGATTATTACACTAATGGGAGATATATATGGTGGCAATATATCCTACATGTCACTTTTAACCTGATAATTACACTAATGGGAGATATATATGGTGGCAATATATCCTACATGTCACTTTTAACCTGATTATTACACTAATGGGAGATATATATGGTGGCAATATATCCTACATGTCACTTTTAACCTGATTATTACACTAATGGGAGATATATATGGTGGCAATATATCCTACATGTCACTTTTAACCTGATTATTACACTAATGGGAGATATATATGGTGGCAATATATCCTACATGTCACTTGTAACCTGATTATTACACTAATGGGAGATATATATGGTGGCAATATATCCTACATGTCACTTTTAACCTGATTATTGCACTAATGGGAGATATATATGATGGCAATATATCCTACATGTCACTTTTAACCTGATTATTACACTAATGGGAGATATATATGGTGGCAATATATCCTACATGTCACTTGTAACCTGATTATTACACTAATGGGAGATATATATGGTGGCAATATATCCTACATGTCACTTGTAACCTGATTATTACACTAATGGGAGATATATATGGTGGCAATATATCCTACATGTCACTTTTAACCTGATTATTACACTAATGGTAGATATATATGGTGGCAATATATCCTACATGTCACTTTTAACCTGATTATTACACTAATGGGAGATATATATGGTGGCAATATATCCTACATGTCACTTTTAACCTGATTATTACACTAATGGGAGATATATATGGTGGCAATATATCCTACATGTCACTTTTAACCTGATTATTACACTAATGGGAGATATATATGGTGGCAATATATCCTACATGTCACTTTTAATCTGATTATTACACTAATGGGAGATATATATGGTGGCAATATATCCTACATGTCACTTGTAACCTGATTATTACACTAATGGGAGATATATATGATGGCAATATATCCTACATGTCACTTTTAACCTGATTATTGCACTAATGGGAGATATATATGATGGCAATATATCCTACATGTCACTTTTAACCTGATTATTACACTAATGGGAGATATATATGGTGGCAATATATCCTACATGTCACTTTTAACCTGATTATTACACTAATGGGAGATATATATGGTGGCAATATATCCTACATGTCACTTTTAACCTGATTATTACACTAATGGGAGATATATATGGTGGCAATATATCCTACATGTCACTTGTAACCTGATTATTACACTAATGGGAGATATATATGATGGCAATATATCCTACATGTCACTTTTAACCTGATTATTGCACTAATGGGAGATATATATGATGGCAATATATCCTACATGTCACTTTTAACCTGATTATTACACTAATGGGAGATATATATGGTGGCAATATATCCTACATGTCACTTTTAACCTGATTATTACACTAATGGGAGATATATATGGTGGCAATATATCCTACATGTCACTTGTAACCTGATTATTACACTAATTGGAGATATATATGGTGGCAATATATCCTACATGTCACTTTTAACCTGATTATTACACTAATGGGAGATATATATGGTGGCAATATATCCTACATGTCACTTTTAACCTGATTATTACACTAATGGGAGATATATATGGTGGCAATATATCCTACATGTCACTTGTAACCTGATTATTACACTAATGGGAGATATATATGGTGGCAATATATCCTACATGTCACTTTTAACCTGATTATTGCACTAATGGGAGATATATATGATGGCAATATATCCTACATGTCACTTTTAACCTGATTATTACACTAATGGGAGATATATATGATGGCAATATATCCTACATGTCACTTGTAACCTGATTATTACACTAATGGGAGATATATATGGTGGCAATATATCCTACATGTCACTTTTAACCTGATTATTACACTAATGGGAGATATATATGGTGGCAATATATCCTACATGTCACTTTTAACCTGATTATTACACTAATGGGAGATATATATGGTGGCAATATATCCTACATGTCACTTGTAACCTGATTATTACACTAATGGGAGATATATATGGTGGCAATATATCCTACATGTCACTTGTAACCTGATTATTACACTAATGGGAGATATATATGGTGGCAATATATCCTACATGTCACTTTTAACCTGATTATTACACTAATGGGAGATATATATGGTGGCAATATATCCTACATGTCACTTTTAACCTGATTATTACACTAATGGGAGATATATATGGTGGCAATATATCCTACATGTCACTTTTAACCTGATTATTACACTAATGGGAGATATATATGGTGGCAATATATCCTACATGTCACTTTTAACCTGATTATTACACTAATGGGAGATATATATGGTGGCAATATATCCTACATGTCACTTTTAATCTGATTATTACACTAATGGGAGATATATATGGTGGCAATATATCCTACATGTCACTTGTAACCTGATTATTACACTAATGGGAGATATATATGATGGCAATATATCCTACATGTCACTTTTAACCTGATTATTGCACTAATGGGAGATATATATGATGGCAATATATCCTACATGTCACTTTTAACCTGATTATTACACTAATGGGAGATATATATGGTGGCAATATATCCTACATGTCACTTTTAACCTGATTATTACACTAATGGGAGATATATATGGTGGCAATATATCCTACATGTCACTTTTAACCTGATTATTACACTAATGGGAGATATATATGGTGGCAATATATCCTACATGTCACTTGTAACCTGATTATTACACTAATGGGAGATATATATGATGGCAATATATCCTACATGTCACTTTTAACCTGATTATTGCACTAATGGGAGATATATATGATGGCAATATATCCTACATGTCACTTTTAACCTGATTATTACACTAATGGGAGATATATATGGTGGCAATATATCCTACATGTCACTTTTAACCTGATTATTACACTAATGGGAGATATATATGATGGCAATATATCCTACATGTCACTTTTAACCTGATTATTACACTAATGGGAGATATATATGGTGGCAATATATCCTACATGTCACTTTTAACCTGATTATTACACTAATGGGAGATATATATGGTGGCAATATATCCTACATGTCACTTTTAACCTGATTATTACACTAATGGGAGATATATATGGTGGCAATATATCCTACATGTCACTTTTAACCTGATTATTACACTAATGGGAGATATATATGGTGGCAATATATCCTACATGTCACTTTTAACCTGATTATTACACTAATGGGAGATATATCTCCCATTAGTGTAATAATCAGGTTAAACGTTCATAAAGCCCATGAAGTAGAAGCCGGCAAAGCGTGCAATACCTTGTTTGAACTGCTGCCAAGACAGCGTGAAGTTGAGGTTGTATGTCTGGATGAAGGGGGCCACCAGAGTGTAGTTGACGGCCGCAGGTTCACAGTGCCACTCGAACACGTGGTCGGAGCCCAGCGGCTGCAGGTAATAGTGGGTGTTGGCCTGGGGCGACTCGAGGCAATCTGAATGTAAACAAAGAACACATTTACATTTATGCTGGGGAATATATTTGATGGCAATATATCCTACTTGTCACTTTTAACCTGATTATTGCACTACTGGGGAATATATATGATGGCAATATATCCTACATGTCACTTTTAACCTGATTATTACACTAATGGGAGATATATATGATGGCAATATATCCCACATGTCACTTTTAACCTGATTATAACACTAGGATGAGGAATAAATGTGATGACAATATTTCCTACACGTCGCTTTTAACAGGATTATTACACTGCTGGGGGATATATATGATGGCAATATATCCTACATGTCACTTTTAACCTGTTTATTACACTACTGGGAATATATATGATGTCAATATATCCTACATGTCGCTTTTAACAGGATTATTACACTGCTGAGGAATATATGTGATGACAATATTTCCTACACGTCGCATTTAACACGATTATTAAACTGCTAGGGAATATATATGATGACAATATGTCCTACCCGTCACGTTTGACATTACTTTTACACGCCTAAAGAATATTTGTGACGACATCATATGCTTCACGTTACTTTTAACATGATTATAACACTTAAGGGAATATTTGTCATGGCAATATTTCCTACACGTCGCTTTTAACATGATTATTGCACTGCTAGGAAATATATGCGATGGCATCGTAGGTGAGGTGAGGTGAGGTGAAATGGGGTTTCTTAACATGGACGCCACGGCACGAATATTGAAAACATCATTTTTGTCCATTACTCAGACATTTGCGTATGCATCAATTTGGAAATCAAATCCAGTAATTATCTGAAATTCAGAAAAAAAGCTACTCTTGTTACCCATTGATGAGTACTTGACATACATGTAACTTAATATTCTACATACTATGTTAATTTAATGTACGTTGTGTGTAAAAATTGCTGTTGCGTCTTTTGCAAACATGTACACGTATGGGTCCGATCTAATACAAATACACAGACAAGAAGTGTAGCCTAGCAGTAACCACGTTCGCCCGTAACGCCGAATGCACGGGTTCGACTCCCACAAAAGTGCAACTTTTGATGTCCCATTCCGGTATTGTTGGTCAAGTGCTAAAAGCGGTGTGAAACCATACCCACTCACTCTCTAAGTCAGTCATATACAACCCTGGTATATGAGAGAGGTTCGTTTTATGGATTAAATGGGACAAGTTCCCAAAATCATGGACATTTTACAGATACCTTTGCTGGGATCTTATTGAAAACAGATAAAAACACTCGACAGTTCCTTGTGCAAGGAGTGAAAATCAAGTCATCTGAACATATGGAATTCGCATTCACATTTCACAAATAAATGTAGTTTATATTGGTATTTTTTAAACTGAAACGCATCCATGGCGGGACCAGCAGTTAAGAGCATTCCGAAACCTTACCACATGCTCCTCCATACACCAGATACTATCTGCACGTGAAATATCATAATGGTAAAACAAGCGACAAAACCCTTTCCATATCCATAAGAACAATCGGCCAAAAGCAGAATCAATTGTACGATTCCGACTGTATCATGGGCATGTGTTTATGGACCACTATCGAATAGTCATGATACCAGGTGTTCGCAAAAAGGTGAGCGTATCCAGTCCCACCGATGGCACTCGTCACAAACACAAGCAATGGCAAGTCAACTGTTTACCTGAAAATACATCGGTAACATATAGTCAAATGGTGAAGGCAATTGCATCGGATTTTTGTCACTGATGCGTGACAAGCAGGAAATAAAAAAGGACATAACAGGTGAGTCACTGATCCTTGTGGCACTGTTCTTACCATTGCCATCAACAAAGAATTTCCAATAAGATGTCATAATGAAAGACACACAAACAAACGTTCTGTATTGTTCCGTTTTGAGGATTTGCTCTCGTACCCAACTAATGACTGGTCCTACTGCCTTCGTCCACAGATGGACCCTTGTGAGAACGGCGGAACATTCTTCTCTGGGAACAGGACCTGCCACTGTGCACATGGCTTTGTTGGGGATTACTGTCAAAGACGTTACCGAGGTAGGTGTACCACGCTCCATGACTCATATAAAAGACAAGTACGCCTACAATAAGCTACAATCCACATCCCCACCGTCCTCTTTCATAATTCTTGGATCCGTTTCATCTTATCGTTATAAACGAAAACTATGTTGAATTGCTTGCGTGTAATCCTTCAAACTAACCCTTCAGAATAAACAGTGAAACATCGTACATCTCCCGTCTGTTTACTACAGCCATGATCTGTGTGTCCTCTGTATATCTTCACATTGACCCTAGTCGTCCCAGGTCACACCCATTACTTTATCCAGTTTCACACTACGATGAACTGTGAGTTGCCTGTACATATTCGCATTGTCTCGAGTCGTCCCAGGCCACAACCTATTACTTTATCCAGTGTCACACTACGATGAACTGTGAGTTGCCAAGATATCTTCACATTGCCTCGAGTCGCCCCAGGCCACAACCCATTACTTTATCCAGTTTCACACTACGATGAACTGTGAGTTGCCTGTACATATTCGCATTGTCTCGAGTCGTCCCAGGCCACAACCTATTACTTTATCCAGTTTTATACCACCATGAACCGCGAGTTGCCAATATATCTTCACATTGCCTCGAGTCGCCCCAGGCCACAACCAATTACTTTATCTAGTTTCACACTACGATGAACTGTGAGTTGCCAATATATCTTCACATTGCCTCGAGTCGTCCCAGGCCACAACCCATTACTTTGTCCAGTTTAATAGTTACTGTAGTATGAACCGTGATATGAGTTGCCAGTATATCTTCACATTGTCTCGAGTCGTCCCAGGCCACAACCTATTACTTTATCCAGTTTCACACTACGATGAACTGTGAGTTGCCAAGATATCTTCACATTGCCTCGAGTCTCCCCAGGCCACAACCCATTACTTTATCCAGTTTCACACTACGATGAACTGTGAGTTGCCTGTACATATTCGCATTGTCTCGAGTCGTCCCAGGCCACAACCTATTACTTTATCCAGTGTCACACTACGATGAACTGTGAGTTGCCAAGATATCTTCACATTGCCTCGAGTCGCCCCAGGCCACAACCCATTACTTTATCCAGTTTCACACTACGATGAACTGTGAGTTGCCTGTACATATTCGCATTGTCTCGAGTCGTCCCAGGCCACAACCTATTACTTTATCCAGTTTTATACCACCATGAACCGCGAGTTGCCAATATATCTTCACATTGCCTCGAGTCGCCCCAGGCCACAACCAATTACTTTATCTAGTTTCACACTACGATGAACTGTGAGTTGCCAATATATCTTCACATTGCCTCGAGTCGTCCCAGGCCACAACCCATTACTTTGTCCAGTTTAATAGTTACTGTAGTATGAACCGTGATATGAGTTGCCAGTATATCTTCACATTGTCTCGAGTCGTCCCAGGCCACAACCTATTACTTTATCCAGTTTCACACTACGATGAACTGTGAGTTGCCAAGATATCTTCACATTGCCTCGAGTCTCCCCAGGCCACAACCCATTACTTTATCCAGTTTCCCACTACGATGAACTGTGAGTTGTCTGTACATATTCGCATTGTCTCGAGTCGTCCCAGGCCACAACCTATTACTTTATCCAGTTTCACACTACGATGAACTGTGAGTTGCCAATATATCTTCACATTGCCTCGAGTCGTTCCAGGCCACAACCCATTACTTTGCCCAGTTTAATAGTAGTATGAACCGTGATATGAGTTGCCAGTATATCTTCACATTGCCTCGAGTCGTCCCAGGCCACCACCACTTACTTTATCCAGTTTAATAGAACTATGAACCGTGAATTGTCTGTACATATTCAGATTGTCTGGAGTCGCCGCAGACATTTTGTTATTTCACCAGTGCTAGTACTACACCCTGCCAATACGGCAACGACTACAGTCACATCCATTACTTGACCCAGTCTAATACCACTTTATCTTTGTGTTATCAACGTACATTCGAATTACCTAGAATTGCCATTCGAATTGCCTACAGACTACATTTATATACGTGTTGTCTGCTTCAGATTGCCTAAAGTCGACAAGGGCAACAACACTACTTCATCCAGTTTAAAAATACTTTGATCTACATGTCGCTTGTATACATTCAGGTTGTTACCTAGTTGCACCCCAGACCCAAACCACTACAACATTAATCTAATACTAATGTGGTAAATGTGTTCTTTGTTTACATTCAGATTGCCTCGAGTCGCCCCAGGCCAACACCCACTATTACCTGCAGCCGCTGGGCTCCGACCACGTGTTCGAGTGGCACTGTGAACCTGCGGCCGTCAACTACACTCTGGTGGCCCCCTTCATCCAGACATACAACCTCAACTTCACGCTGTCTTGGCAGCAGTTCAAACAAGGTATTGCACGCTTTGCCGGCTTCTACTTCATGGGCCTGGAGAACCTGCACCAGCTGACGAAACAGGGAGTGTACGATTTGTTTGTGTATTTGTTTAAGACGGGTAGGCCCTACGGCTCTCTGTCGTACAGAAACTTCAAGGTGGATTCTGAATCGGAAGGGTATGCTCTGCGCTGGGATCATCTCGACAAGGAATTCAATGGCTACTTTACTGGTAGCGATGACTTCCTGGATGGTTTTGGGGGCGTGGGGGACGCAGCAAAGAACTTGAATGGGGCACGTTTCGGTACGTTCGACAACGACATCGCCGGATGTGCTCGTGCCAAGAACGCCGGGTGGTGGTATAACCCTGTTGGGTGCAACATGATTACTTTCGATCCGAATGGTTTGTATTGGCCTACCAACTTAACCGGGGTAGTTCAGCTTGATTACATCAATATTACCATGATGGTGATGAAACCAGTTCACTGGTACAAGGAAGACGACCTTGTTCTCTGATATTCAAGACTCGGGGGACTCACGTCATTGCCATCTAGTCACACGTTCACTTTCGTTTAGGTAGCTCACCTAAATAAATGTTGGAAGGAAACAATAGGTTTTCCAGATTTGATCTTGTTCCGGGACCAACTGACGTATTGGTCCTGTCTGACCAGGATGACCTTGTGGTTGATGGGCGACAAGCTTGGGGGAACACCAGCCCGCATTGCCGACATTAAGCATATTCTAGAATGCAGCGACCTGCGTGCTTAAGCTGGTGGTGACGTCATTGTTGTGTGTGTATTCGAATGTGGGGACCTGTTCCCTGGCAGAATGGACGATGTCTACAACGGTCTATTATGACGATTAGAAATGTTTGGATGACTCAAAGCGACGTTATTGTCCAAAATATTTTGTTGGTCGACTCTCTCTGTGTCTCTTTATATCTTGATGTTTTTACGAAATGTTATTCCTCGAAGGTCACGAACACTACAATGTATGTTAGTCTATGTTAGTAATATAATAAAACGGTACCCCATGATTGCCGTAAGATCCTCTTCGACGACCAGAGGGTTACATCTTGTAACCTGGTCGACTGTTTGCAAGAATTATGGGATCAATCTCTCGTCGATATTCGATCATTTACAGTCAGTCGCCATACATCTGTGTATGCTAATTACATGAAATCGGGCGGTTCGGTAGCCAAGTGGTTAAAGCGTTCGCTAGTCACGCCGAAGACCCGGGTTCGGTTAGCCACATGGATACAATATGTGTCCCCCGCAGTGATAGTGCTTGCATATTGCTAAAGCGGCGTAAAGCGGCGTAAAACCGCTCTCTTGTCTCCAGGAAGAGACGACTCACTCATGTACAGAATGTGAAGGCATCTTTTTGTTGCCAGGAAGAGACGACTCACTCATGTACAGAATGTGATAGCATCTCTTGTGACCACTACATAATATCAGAACATTATGGATACTGAATTGATAACTGAAGCCATTAACCTCCATTCATAATACGCTTTTCCTAAAGTTCCTTATCGTCTGAGCGTCTTACCGGAGAGCTGAAGTCGGGGTTCGATCCCCGGCTGCGTCATACCGAAAGATGTTTTAATGTGGTACTTATTGCCTGCTCGTCGCTATAGAAGTACAATTATCTTGGGCGCAACGTTAAACTCCAAATCACCTCACCTCACCTCACCTCACCTCACCTCACCTCACCTCACCTCACCTCACCTCACCTCACCTCACCTCACCTCACCTCACCTCACCTCACCTCACCTCACCTCACCTCACCTCACCTCACCTCACCTCACCTCACCTCACACCACGTGTATGTGTGTGGCTGCTTCTACTAGTCCGGACTGATGCCGATTTATAGGTCGCGGAACAATGCTAGGTCACAGCAACCCATGCTGGTAGGAGGTGAGGTGAAATGGGGTTTAAAGTCGCGTCCAAGATTACTGCACTTATATAGCGACGTGCATGTACGTGTGTGTGTTTGTGTGGCTGCTTGTACTAGTCCGGATTGATGCCGATTTATAGTGCTAGCTCACTGAGATACCATGCCGCAGTTTAACATGAATACCCCTCTCAGACACAGTATACTGACTCCGAGCCGATCAGTCCTTGTTGTAGCCCCTTAATGCCGAGCGCCAGACATGGTAACAACAAGTACCTTCTTTTAACGTATTTTGGTATGACGTGGCTAGGAATCGAACCCCGGACTTTCCGCTCTCCGGGCGGACGCTCTACCATTAGACATCGGAGGCGGTCTGTAGCTGTAGTAGTTGTAATAGCTAGCAGTAGTAGTTTAAGGGTAAACTTTGAGCCACAGGGAGGTCTCGTCAGGTGTTATCTTCATCAGATGTTATCAGCTTCCAGAAGAGACATCCGCAAAATGACAAAATAATCTATAAAGAAAATATAGCTTTCTTGACTTTGTAAATGGAAAGGAATATCTGTGATATAACATTCACTCAACGAGTCAATAGAATATCCGGAAGACAACCACACAAACGATTTATGAATCACATTCAACAAAAGACCGGATTAGTCTCAAAGAACAAAACATTTAAATAACAAGTAGTTTACAATACATCTATTATTTAACATTTGGACTTCCCAACGTGTAATTCTTACAAGAGTTTCCTCCCTTGGAATAGGAGCTGGCCTCAGACCACAATTAACCTCCTTCTTTGCTATCAACAGTGACATGACAGCCCACCATAATTATTATCAGTCGTAGGTCGTTCTCCTGTTGCATGCTGACCAACCTGCCACCTGTCACTTAAAAAGCAAAGTTTCGGCCTGCATTCACCAGCTACCCTTCGCAGTAACCACTGTCAACAGTGCTCACCGGAAGTTTCGAGCCGAAACACACACAGCGGCCTTCAACTTGGGGTCAAGTCATGGGAAGCTGGAATCAATACCTTCACAGATTGTGGCCAACAAAAAATTGGTAACATACTACAATGTCTAATCTTTCATGTAAGCTATCACAAATCACTCAAAAAAGCCCATTTGAACAGGGCACTATGTTCTCCTATTTCATCGTAAAACTTGGGGTGGGGGTGGTAACTGTGGTCTGAGGCACATCTTAGTACAGGGCGACTTTGTGGACAGGGTCGCCAGGCTCAGTGTGTTGGTTGACTGTGTGTCTCCGTACCATGTCGTGGACACGGGTGGCCCAGTCGTCTAAGGCGCCGCGATTCGCTGTGCAGAGTTTCGTCCCTTGGGCACGCCAGAAACCTATGATTGTGGGTTCGAATCCCGGTTCGCCCCGATTATGTTTCTAGGTTTGTCAGCACCATACCCGTGCTCGTGGGTTTCATCGAAGTGGTAAATGTCTGAGACCTGCATCAATTCGGGCTTTCATTTAGCATTAAGCTGACACGCCGTGATATAACTGGAATACTGTTAAAAGCGGCGTTAAACCCAACTCACTCACTCACCGTACCATGTCGGCGTAGGTCGTTGCTCATAATATCAATCACTGGTTTATCAGATTCGATTTTTCATAGGCACCATCACAGCTGAATTATTGCTAACAAAGAAACAAGCGATCAGAATGAGAAACTGGAAATACGTTTTATTTTATTTTACCAAAGCTTCTTGAGGGAAGTCTTCATGAGAAGGAAGATAACATATAACAAACCAGTGCAGGGTTTGATTGCGTAGAAATACAACAGTCGCCAAAGCCAAATCTGACGTTCTACCGCCATTAACCTGATTAAACAACACATCAAACGGATGTACAAGGAAAACAGTCACTGTTTACTGGGTCGGTGGCTGAGCGGGTTAGATCGCTGACGATTAGCCGCCTCACAAAAAAAAGTACGAGAATCTGTATTTTACTCAGAAAGTGTTATCCCAAATATACCATTTGTTGTATTACAGTAATAAAATGAGTACCTAAAAAGCTCAATATACCGACCAGGTGCGTAGACAGCCAGTTAAGTCGGCTGCGACCAATTAACACCTGAGTCAATTAACTCAACACTCCAATGAGGGAATAACCTCGACTTGGTTAAATAACGGGAAATAAACACGGAGAGACTATCCCTAAAATAAGTCACTTAGACTGTAAGAATAGACGAGTAGGTCTGAAAATGAAACAAGTCTGATCGTCTGAAGATACTGTCACTTTGACTGAACAATGAAATACTTATAATTCCCAAATAGCTAGACAATCAGGAGAAGGTTGGTAATTAACGGATTGCTAAAAAGACGGAGCATTGGATACACTACTTAGTAAGTAGCTAGGCAATCACGGGAAGGTTGGTTTTCCACGGATTGCTAACAGAACGGAGTATTACAAACCCTAGTTGCTAAGTTTTGTTCAGTACTACCAGACTAAGTCAGAACTTAGATCGAGCCGTGTCCCGAAAACCACTTGCTAACGAAACCTGAGTTTCGAAGGAATGGGGGGTCCCCGGCCGCGTCATACCAATAGACGTTAAAAGATGGTACGTGTTGTTACCATGTCTGGCGCTCGGCATTAAGGGTCTAAAACAAGGACTGGTCGGCTCGAGTCAGTAGACTGTGTCTAGGTGGGGTATTCATGTTAAACCGCGGCATGGTATCTCAGTGTGCTAGCACTATAAATCGGCATCAGTCCGGACTAGTACAAGCAGCCATAGAAACACACACACGTACATGCACGTCGCTATATAAGTGCAATAATCTTGGACGCGACGTAAAACCCAATTTCACCTCACCTCACCTCATCTCACCTCGAAAGAATGGGGAAAACACGAATAGCAAACTAACTACTACATCCAAACTGACGATGTAAGTATCAAAATAAAGCGCTGAACAATAGTATCATTAAAGATTTATAACAAGCTATGAAAGATTATTTATGAGGCAATAAAAACATGAGAAATATCTGCCTGTACATATACATTCCCCTAATGTTTGCAAATCATTATTACAAAAAAACATTTTCAGTGCAAGAGTAAGGTGGCGAACATTTAAGCGATACCAAACATCAAGTCAATACAAGGGTTGAGACACATTTGATCATAAGAATAAAATAGTCAGTCCACTGAATCTCTCACACAGAATGTTCTCACACTGTACAATGACGACCGCCGGACTTTGCCGAGCGGTGCCGGAAATAAAGCCTGGGAGCAGAGCGGTCACGTGACAAGGTAAAATAAGAGGCACGGTGACAGTCGACATGATTCGATTTCAGTCGATCAGAGTTTGTTGTTATGGAAACCAGTAAGCACGGTTGTGACAAGGTAGTATGTTAGTGAACTGACTCCACGTGTTAACTCTGCGATGTATCTCTTTCTGTTTGAAGTACCAGTTTAAATCATTAATCATTAAATTTCAAATACAGGTAGGCTCACGCACGACGTCAACACCTCTGTTTGAGAAAATAGTTTATCATTAAGCTTCAAATCCAAGGAGATTTAGACACGGTGTCAACACCGCTGTTTGAAATACTAGTTTATCATTAAGCTTCCAATCAAGGCAATTTTGCTGAGTGCGGCGTTAAGCAATAAACAAACAAACAAATGTCTTAATCGCGAATTAAGCGCCATCCAACAGCGAAACGGTTTGTATCCATTTTCAAATTTATCTGAAATATATTATCATAAAAGTATATTTGTCGGGCTTAACGAATGCAACTTGCATGTATTTACGTTTGTATATGATCCAACAGCTATCACCGTGAACCTGGTTTTGCACCATGCGATTGCCACTGACAACAAGTGAAAGGTAATCTGAAGAAACAGGTAAACCATCTGCAAACATAAAACGTCAAGGCCAGAGATTAACCAGTCTCGATTACGCACCTTAAAAGATTCAGTGTTGTCTTCCATGATGAAAAAGGGTGTTTTGAAATCTTCAATCTCCTCAGTGTTTGGCAGATGTTATCGCAGATACAGTATGTGTGCACGAACAAGGCAGGTGTCAGTATCGCAGGTATGTGTGCACGAACAAGGGAGGTGTCAGTATCGCAAGTATGTGT